TAAATATGACCTTATACGGTTGGTTGAAATTGTATTCCGTCGGTATGAGGTCCGTTTTAATTTCAATCAGGTGATTTAGACATGGGTCCTTGAGGATCTCGAGGTGTACTCTGAGGTTACCCTGCATCAACTTGAGTGAAGAAACTGTATTCAGTGATAAGGCACTTAAGGCTGCCTCCTTTTGTATATATATGTGGAGCGGAGTGAGACCGAGTAGGGCTTCCAAAGCAGCCGTCAGACAGGATCTCATTGCACCCGTTATGTTAAGACATGCTAACCGCTGGATATGTGCCAGCTGTTGTTGAGCTGTCTTATGTTTTGTTTTTGGCCACCAAACCAATGAGGCGTAGGCGACCATGGGTCTGATTATTGCTACGTAGGCCCAATGAGCCATTCGTGGTTTGAGACCCCAGTTCCTTCCTAGGAGCCTGCGGCAGATCTGGTTTGCCATGATGGCCTTTTTCCTCACCTTATCTAAGTGTGAGTTCCAGTTTAGTTTACTGTCAAGTATTACCCCTAGGTATTTAGTTTCTGTTTTGAGGTTAATAGTTCTGCTTTCAATGGAGGGTGCTTTTATTTGTAGCTTCCTTCTCCGAGTGAAAGGGACTATTTCGATTTTATTGGGATTGATGCTGAGCCCATTGCTTCTGCACCAAGTACTGGTGAGTAGTAGGGCTTTCTGCATTAGCTGAGTTATGATTGAATCATATTTACCTCGGATTGTGATTACCAGGTCATCAGCATACCCTTGTATCTTAAATCCGTTTTTAGTTAGGGTGTTCATCAAGTCATCAACTACCAGGCACCATAATAGAGGTGATAGCACTCCCCCTTGGGGACATCCTCTTAGCGCCTTTATAGTCAGCGACTCGCCTCCCAGACTGGCTGTGATCTGCCGACTTTTCAACATGGCTATACACCACTTGATTGTCGACGGATGTATGTCTTTTACGTTTAAAGCCTTCTCTATGGATTCATATGAGGTGTTATCAAACGCACCCTCTATATCTATGAAAGCACAAAGGGCTATCTCTTTGGTTGCAATTGCCTCCTCTAAGGTGCTAGTCAAAGCATGGAGAGCGGTAATTGTTGATTTTGCTTTCTGGTAAGCATGTTGGCTAGGGTGGAGTGGATTTGTGAGAAGCACTCCATTCNAGCAGAATTCGCTGCCACCAGCAAATACAACAACTTATCCTACTGGAAAGCGAGAAGAGTAATTTTTTATAAAAACGGCGACCCATTCTTCCCGGGAGTCGAGTTTCGATTTAAACCTGGTCGAGATATTTACAACTTAGAAACACTTTTGGATAAGTTATCGTTAAGAATTGATCTTCCACGCGGAGCTAGATATATTTTTTCTATGGACGGTGATCGGAAGTTTCGATTGGACGAATTGGAGGATGGAGCTTCCTATGTTGTTTCATCGTACAAAACTTTTAAGGTAAGTTCAAATTGGGCTAAATTAGGGGGTTGCTTAAAATTATTAAATATGAGTGGAATTGTGGATAACGTGACATGAGAGTGGTTTATTAATCGACTATATGCAAATGAATGCGTTTTCAGAGGAAGATTATGCTAACACGTGCCAAATATATGAATTATTTATAAAACGTTGTGACGTTATTGTAAGAAATAATTCAATAAAATCAATGTTATGTTAATTACTATCCAAAAGAAATCATTTTTTTTTAATTTATTGTTAAAAAGTACTCTTTAATTCAGTGAAACTCTCACTTTTCGATCAAGGTCGACTTGTAATTCGTTGACCAAAATAGTTACCATTTTTGTGGCACTAAAAGTAGATTTAGGAAATCGGGGGCGATTCCTATCGAAAATAAAATATAAACTACCACATACCGTGGGGTTCGTGCCACTTTTGCGATTATGAGTGATTACAGATTAGAAATGCCCTTCGACCTAAAATGCTGTTTTTACCATAAGAGATTATCTAAAAGAAAACTTAAATACTATTGATCATAACAAGTTAAAAGTGATTGAAATTAATTAATTCCAAAAGTTTACACAATTTTGTAAGGAACAGATTACATTACATTATTTAGTCCATTTTTCTCACTAGTTCAGGTTTTTGATACAACAAATACTATTCATTTATTTTAACACTGTTTCAACATAAACAAACGTTTGAGTAATGAGCTAAAAAGCAGCAAGAAATTTTTGTATTTAGTTGGAAAAACTTTCTGAAAAACATTTATCTTAAATACTGTAAATTTTTGGGTTCTTTCTTACTGCTTTACTATTTCCTTTAGAATTTGTGAACTCATTAGAAAATCTTTTAAAAATGCTTTCATGAGCTGTCCATAAATAAAGTTATCTTTAAATCTCTACATTCTAACGCGAAAAATGAGAAAATTGATATAGAAAGATTTTGTGATCAATTCTGCAACAAATAAATTCATTACAAATACTGGTTAACAGAGAATTGGAAAAACGCTTTTTATCTTTAATCTAATTTTCAACAAACGTCAAAATAAATCTTCTGTATTTGAAATTATACAGGGTGAGTTATTAGTATCCCGGCGGTCGATAGTTACAAAACCGTTTGAAAAACAAAAAAATATTTTATATAAAAGTTGTTTGACTCATCACTTTCTATTACGTAAAATTATTTTCACTTATACAGGATGTTCCATTTAAGCGTAACGGAAAGTACATAAATTTGTTTATACAACCGTATATGTAACTGATTCTCAGCGTTCATAGTTCTTGAGATATTCAATTGTTCTTCCAAAATGTGCCCATTACAGGATCTTTTTAAAAAACGTAATCGATGTAAAAACGACATTTTTTCCGATTTTGCCTTGAAACTACGTCAGACAATAGTCAAAGCCGGAAGGTAGATGATAGTATTCAAAGATATTAGATACAATATACAGGCTGTTTAAAAAGCTCAGTTACTTTTGATGTTTTTCAAATGGCTTTTTCTTAAGTTTTTTAAATGCAACACCCTGCATGTTGTGTGCTAGTTGAATTGCTCATCAAGTTCCCTTTAATTAATGATAAAATGTCATTATTCTACTTAAAAAACTGACAGAATGTAAATATATTCTGTCCTTTTTTTGCTTTTTCTTTTTTGTTTGTCTGTCATTTGTAAAGTATTAATATTATATTAAAATACAATTAAAAAAAACTTTAATAAATAAATAATCAAAACATGATAAAAATACTAATAATGGCAGAACAATAAATCCCTTTTTTAATTACTAAATTGTATT